TTAAGTCTAGATGTCTTTTGGTAGAGTTTTTTGGGTCTTCTATGTAAAGTATCATATCATCAGCAAATAATGAGAGTTTAACTTCTTCCTTTCCTATCTTTATTCCTTTTATTTCTTTCTCTTTTCTAATTGCTGTGGCTAATGTTTCAAAAATTCACATTATTTTGTGCGGTTTTTTTGTTTGTTTTTTGGGTTTTTTTGGTACTGGGAATCGAACTAGGGACCTTGCACTTGCGAGGCAGGCAGCAGAACCACTGAGCTAAATCCCCAGCCCAAAAATTCACATTAATGACTATTATCACTCTGCTGTGCTGTGCAGAGTAGAACTTATTTCTCTTATTTATGTGTAACTTTTTACACAGTGGCCAACTTCTCCTCATTCCCTTCCACCTCTCCAGCCTCTTCTGACCATTATCTACTCTCCTGTGAGATCATCCTTTTTAGAATTTACATGAATGAGGTCATGCAGTATTTGCCTTTTGTGCCTGGCTTATTAAACTTAGCATAATGTCCTCTGGGTAATTCCACATTGTTCAAATGATATGATTTCATCTTTCTGAGTTTGAATAATAATCCATTGTGTACATATACTACGTTTTCAAGTCCATTCATTCTTTGATGGACACTTAGGTTGATTCCATATCAGTATCTTGGCTGTTGGGAATAGTGATACAGTAAACATGTCACTACTGCTTTTGGCATTCATCAGTGAGTACATCTTACCTGCAGCAACTATTATTGTAGTGTTCTAAGGGTGATTTTCTGTTCCCTTGTTTCTTCTACATTTATTTAGTATTCTTCTTTAAGAGTTTTCTCAATTTATTTAATCGTTTATATCTGGACTTACTTATTTCATTCTTTGGGCTGTTACATGTTATTACTGTATATTTTGTTGCTCAGATTTTTCCAGATGGGCGTTTGTGAAGTCTTCAGGTTCGCTCCTGAATCTTTTAAACATACTTGCATCCCCCCTCCAGGAATTTTTTTCCCAAGCACTTCTTTGCCTTCTAGCCCCATAAAATGCTCTGGATCATCTTGTATTTTATGTGCCCCAGTTCTGGAGCCAACTACTTCTTCAAGGAGCTTTGGTTCCTTTTACTGGAGAATGGAATTTAAAAAATATGGTCATGAGACTTAGATGTGCTCATGACGACTAAGAAATCTCTTGCTTCTTCTAAGTCCACTTATGAGACACAGCTAGGAAATATATGTATATATATATATATATATATTCTAACCCATTTACACACAGATATATATCTGTGTGTAAATAAATTCATTACTGACTTCTCAAACTCGAATTCAGAACCACAGAGTTTATTCTAGAAATTTCCTCCTTTCCTTATGTATAACTTCTTTCTCCAACAGTTTCTCCAGAAAAACCTGATCTAATTATCTACATATATTGTTCAACCTTAGTATACATGTAGAATAGTTTCAGAATTGCTAAACCTGTGTGAAATTTAGCAATGGCTTTAGTGTACAGTTCTTTCTGTATGTAGGGTTAGTATCCAGTAAAACACTGTTTCTCAAAATTACTTGATTTACTCTTTCTTCTTCAGTAACACTGTGTGATTCCTTTGTAATACAGTTAGACCCGCTTGTCACAACCACACTCTGCATTCCATGACGGGGTCCTCCAACAACATAGTAAAAATCGATTTGCAAATGGTAAAACTTACTCTTTATGGTGTATAATTTACTTATATTTTGTTGAGTATTTTTATGTCT